GGAGAACAGAAAAGTGGGCAAAGAGAGACATTGGACAGTGTAAGACATGACAAAATGATAATAATTTTTAAATTATCAAGGGTTTGTGAGGGAGGGGGTGTGGGGAGGGCGGGGAAAAATGAGGAGTTGATACCAAGGGCTCTAGTAGAAAGAAAATGTTCTGAGAATGATGACGGCAACAACTATACAAATGTGCTTGACACAATGGCTGTGTGTATGTATTGTGATAAGAGTTGTACGAACCCCCAATAAAATGATTTAAAAAATAAAGAAATGAAGAAAAATTCAAACCTCCAGTTGAATTATTGAGCGATTCTATAAGCAAAATCTTGACCAATGCAGGCATTAAAAATACACAAACAACAACCAACGAATGAAAGGAATATACAGAACTATTGTACACTAAAGGTCAACAGTTAACCATTTCAAGAAGTAGCATATGAGCAAGAACCAATGATACTGAATGAAAAACATCCAAGATGTACTGAAAGCCATAACCAATAACAAGGCTCAGCAATTGACAGGATACCAATAGAAATGTTTCAACAACTTGATGAGGCACTGGAAGTACTCATCTTGTCTATGCCAAGAAATTAGGAAGACAGCTAATTAGGCAATTAACTGGAAGAGATCCACATTTGTGCCCATTCTAAAGACAGGTGATTTCCAACAAGCATGGGAATTAATTGAACAATATAATTCTTATCACATTCAAGTAAAATTTTACTGAAGATCAATAGTTGCATCAGTACAGTGACAGAGAGCTGTCAGAAACACAACCCAGATTCAGAAGAGGATGTGGACCAAGGGATATCATTGCTGAAGACAGATTGATCGTGACTGAAAACACAGGATACCAGAAAGATGTTTACTTGTGTTTTATTGCCATAAATGTAAAAGCATTTCAGAAAAGAAAAAAAAAGCATTTCACTGTGTGGATCATAATAATTTATGGATAGCCTGGAGAAGAATGGGAATTCCAGAACCCTTCATTGTGCTCAGGCAGAATGATCAAGAGGCATAGCATCAGGATTGAAGGAAGGCTTTTAAACAACATGTGAAATGTAAATGACATCATCTTGTTTGCTGAAAGTGAGGAGGACTCGAAGCCCATGGTGATGAAGATCAAGAATGCAGCCTTCTGTACACATCATAACTCAATGTAAGAAGACTGAAATTCTCACAAGTGGACCAAGAAATATTATGGTAAATGGGGGAAAGATTGACATTGTCAAGGATTTTGTTTTGCTTGGATCCACAATCAATGCTGATGGAAGAGCAATCAAGAAATCAAATGAAGTGGAAGATATGACAAAATAATAATAAGATATGACAAAATAATTTATAAATTATCAAGGGTTCATGAGGGAGCGGGGAGTGGAGAACAATGAGGAGCTAATACCAAGGGCTTAAATAGAAAGCAAATGTTTTGAGAATGATGAGAGCAACAAATGTACAAATGTGCTTGACATACAGTGAATGTATGTATGGATTGTGATAAGAGTTGTATGAGCCCCAATAAAATGATTTAAAAAAATAAATCAAATGATATATTGCATTGGACAGATCTGCTACACAGAATCTTTAAAGTGTTGAGGAGTAAGAATATCACTTTGAGTACTAAGCTGTGCCTGTCCCAAGCTATGGCATATTTGTTCATCTCATATGCATGTGAAAGATGGACAATAAAGAAGGAAAACTGAAGAAAAATTGCATTTGAAAATGCATTTGAATTATAGTGTTGGTGTAAATTTTGAAAGTTCTGTAGACTGCCTGAAGAACAAACAAATCTTTCTTAGAAGAAGTCTAGCCAGAATGCTGTTAGAATTGAGGATGGGGAGCCTGCATCTTATATCTGTTGGGTATATTAGCAAGAAAGAGTACTCCCTGGAGAAGATCATCATGTTTGGTAAGGTAGGAGGTCATTAAGAAAGAAGACCATCATGGAGATGGACTGACACAGGGACCACACCCACGGGCTCAATCAATAATTGTGAGGATTGTGCGAGACCAAGTAGGGTTTGCTTCTGTACATAGAGTCGTCTGAGTTAGAACACTCTCAATGGAAACCCCCTAACAAGAGCAACAAAGTTGATATGTATATGTGTGTGTGTATATTTATAAAATTATATTAATATTTATGTGTATCCATATATATTCCATTTATTCCATATATGGATTTATTCCATATATCCATTCATCTGTTGCTGGGCACTTGGGTTGTTTACATTCTTTTGCTCTCATGAATCATTTTTCAGTGAACGTCGAGGTGTGCATCTGTCTGTTGGTATTACTGCTATTAGCTATTTAGGATCATGCCTAGGAATGGGATTACTGGATCACAGGGTATTTATTTTTTGTTCTTACTTTTTGAGAAAGCACTAGATTGTTTCCACAGTGGTTACACTAGTCATTTATTTCCACCAACAGTACATAACGATTCCAATCTCCTGGAAAGCACCCCAGAATTTTTTTAAAGCTAATCAGTTACATTTTTGCAGGGGTAAGACAGGATGTCATTTGTAATTTTGATTTTTGTCTTTGATAGCTAATTGTCACAAGCCCCTGAATAGCTCAGTCACAAGTGCAATCTCAGAAAGGATTTAACTGTAATATTTAAAAATTCATGCATTACAGTTCATTGAGTATTGTAAACATCATAGTGGTTAATGTCTACTTAAAATTTACTGTATATTGATGTGATATTTACTGCAAATACATGCATGACTGTGGTGGAGCATCCAGGAGTAACTTTATGAAAACTTCTTGGATACAGCTAAACTCCTTGAACAAATGAGTTGCTGGACCCGGGCCTCAGCGCCACAGTCTCAGAGCCAACTGGCATGACAGAGTTAATAAAGACAGTGCTCTATATGAGTAATGACTGGAGTCTTAAAAGCTCATGAGTGGCTATCTAAGGTGTAACCACTGGTCCCTCTCTGTCTGGAGGGGAAAAAAGGGGGGAGTGAAAATTGGAGCCACGTGGAAATATTTCAATGGGCTAATGGAGGAAGCAAGCATAGTCTTCACTACCCTGAAACACGAATAACTAAACGGTACCCGGCTACTGCTATCAACTGCGCTGAGAGGGTTTGCATTATAGAAGGTCATGGACAACGTAGGAGAAAAATATGAACTCAAAATCATAAAGAAGGCCCAGCTTACTGGTCTTATAGAGACTAACGGAACCCGCAAGACGAAGGCCCTCAGTTAACCTTGAAGTCTGGAACTGAACTCACGCCTGTGAGTAAATTTTCAGCCAAACAATCGACAGGCTTCTAAAAGGAATCAGGAGAAAGATGAGCCATTCTGCTCTCATAAAGACATACGCCTCAAGGATCAAAAGAGGGCAATTCTCTATAGGGCCACTCTGAGTCAGAATCAATTAGATGGCAGTGGATTTTTATAAGAGGAACAATAACACTACTGAGGTATATACATCTTAAAATACTCAACCATTTGAGATTAACAGGCCACCACAGACCCAAGAACACTGTTCAGGAGGGTTCGTAAAGAAGGACTGGCAGCAGGGAACCCAGGAAGTGGGACCCGTGGTGCCACCTGGAGTGGAGTGCAATCAGTGAGATGAAACAAAATGTGTATGAACTGCTGAATGCAAAACTAATGATCTGCACTATAAATCTTCACTTATTTCACAATAAAAGTTTTATAAAATGGATGAATCGGGGAAATTATTACAAATGGCGTAGTATTTTGTTTTAAAAGCATGTAGTGTTTTTTTATTGTTACCCATTTTTAAAATGAGATCTTTTCAATGACATATCTAACCATCTTCAAATCAAATATCAAATATTTAAAACTTACCTTCCATTCTTCTTTTTCTATCTTTAAAATAACTCTCCCATCTTCTGTGGTGACCTTTTCTCTTAGTTTGGCTAAACAAACTCTCTCTTCCCAGATCCGCACTAGCCTAGGAGACCAGGAAATCATTTTAATTCATAGTTAATGAGCTAGGTAGAATTTTCTTTTATTTCATCAACTGTAAAAGACAACCATTTGATTTATGGTACCTGGAAACCAGACAAGATGTTGTTTGTAGGAATTATACATTTTATTAGTACTGTTATTTTTAAGTTTTTGACTGTCAAAACTCTTCATCAATTTTTTTAATAGCAGCTTTGTTGCGGTAGAATTCACACACCACGAAATTCACCATTTTAAAGTATACAATTCAGTGGTTGTTAGTATCTTCAGAGTTGTACAATTGTCACGACTATTTAATTCCAAATCATTTTCATAATCCCCGAAGAAATGTCATACCTACTAGCTTTCATCACCGTTTCCTCTTCCCTTAGTTCCTGGCAGCCACATATCCACTCTCTGCTTCTATAGATAGGCCTGTTCTGCAGATCCCATGTAAATGGGATCACATAGTAGGGCAGCCCTTTGTATCTGGCTTCTTTCACTTAACATAATGATTTAAGACTCACATTCTGAAGCATGTGTCAGTACTTTATTCCCTTTTATGAACAAATAATATTTCATTGTATGCATATTCCACATTTTATTTATACATTTGTCTGTTGGTGGACTTCTGGTTTTTAGTTATTATGAATAATATTGTTAATAATTCATATTTTTATTTCTCCTGCATATATACTTAATAGTAGAACTGTTAGGTTACATGGCAATTCTGTGCTTACATTTTTTGTGTGTGTGCTTACATTTTTAAGAAACTGTCAAATTGTTTTTAAATTGGCTACAGAATTGTGTATTTCCCACAGCGATGTATGAGGGCTCTGCACATCTTCATCAGTACTTGTTATTGTACATCTTTTAATGATAGCCATTCAAATGAGTGTGAGCTGGTATCTCACTGGGGTTTTTAATTTGCATATCCCTGGTGGTAATCCATAGATATTTAATAACTAAGGCTTTTCATAGCTTGTTAACAAATACAGTTGAACTTCTGAGCTAAATTTCAGATTACCATATACCAATTTTATCTGGACTTCATTTTTCAGATATTAAAAATTACTATTGTTAGTTATTCTGAGGCATATCCATTTAGGCTTTTAATCCATTGAAAACATACATGGGGGGAAAAAAAGGAAACATACATACATGATAGGGGCAGAAGAAACAGAGCTACATAAATGGAGGGTTTAACAGAATATTGTTGATTTCATTTCCAGAGATAGGTTGTGTAAATTAAACAGTGTGTGTTTCTTTAAAAGCAAACTAAATGAATAAATCCCTCCAGACTCCTTATCCCTCAAACCAAGATAGTGGTCTGAGTGGCTTAAAACAAAGAGGGAGAAGGAAAAGTGAAATTGAAATGTACTTGGACTCTTTAGTGACAAGTTAATCTCAAACAAACAAACGAAACATACATGAGAATCATACCAAGCTAGCAACAATTGGCTCAAACATACGAACAACTGTGATGATGACACAGGACCAGGCGGTGTTTCGTTTTGATGTGCATATGGATCAGAGCCAGCTCGATAGGGCCTAGTAACACCAACAGCGATAAAAATAACTAGCACAAGAGAGAACCGGAAGCAACATGTAACTCTTTCCCCTCTGGGGGCCCTCGCCGAAGGAGCAGCGGCCAAACTGAAGTTCAATCCCTTTGTGACTTCGGACAGGAGCAAAAACTGGAAAAGGTATTTCAGCGCACCTTCCCACGTTCGCAGGAAGATGATGTCTTTCGCTCTTTCCAAGGAACTGAGACCATGTTCGGTCCACGACCATCGCAAGGATGATGTCCTTTAGGTGGTGCGAGGACACGACAAAGGTCAGCAGGTTGGCAAAGCGACCCAAGTGTACAGGAAGAAACATATCGTCTACATAATATCGTGCAGTGAGATAAAGCTAACGGCCCAACTGTTCATGAGGGCATTCACCCCAGCAAGGTGGCTCTCATGAGACAAACTGGACCAAGACTGCAAACAGATCCTTGAACAGAAAGCCAGATTTCCACAGAAAGTAAAAGGGCACATGTAAGAATCACTTGAGAAGATGCGAGCATAAAATATCTGGAACACAACTTCCATTAAAATCGGCACATTCTATTATTTCTCTCTAGCTTAAAGAGGTTTTTTGTGTGTATAGTTAAGAGAAAAATAAATTGAAAACTGAAATTTTGCTATTTTAACCTATTAGACTGATCAACCCACAAAGGGAGATATCAAAGAACATTTGATTTGTTTTGCCTACGCACTTAATGCTCTGTTTTATGAGGATGTTATGAATTCCCATTACTAAGCAAGCTATAACATACTTCTGTTTAAATTCTTTGTCTCGCTTCAGGTCTTCATCTTGTTTCTTTATTCTCTTTTCCCAAACTTCTTTTACAGCACTGACAGCCCCAGTACAAACTGCGTTTTCTGCCATGGTTTTTCCACATGGCCGCAGAGTCGGCAGCTTCACGAGGTTCAGAGTATCTGAGTCACAGATACCACTCAGCAAGACCCTGATTTTAATAGGAAAAAAACATGCTTCAGACCATTCGTCAAGGATCGTAAGCATCATCATAACCAATGTTTGTTAAGCACTTTCCATGGTCCAAAGACTATTGAAGCACGCTACATGCCATTTAATAACCCTCATTATAACTCCTGAATGTAGTTACGAACAGATGAGAAACCCGAGCCTTAAAGAAGATAGGCAATTTGCCCAGGGCCTTATATCTGTTATGTGGCAGAGGCCGGATTGGGTGTCAAGACTATTTCCTCTGTTAGTGTGTAATTGCAGTAATGAAAACCACAAGCCGCCTAACTAGTCAATTATAGGTAAATGGTCAAGGAATGAGTACATCGATGGGACTAGCATCTTGGGCTATCTATGTAATCTGGATGCCATTTGTACAAACTGGAATTCAACTTGATGATAGAGAATGATCGATGAGGATTGTTAGCTTTTGTGTATAATAAACTACAAACGGACCCAGGGAATATTGAGAATTGTGACCTAAATCTGAGGAATGAGAGAAACATGGTGGAATGGTTACATGCATTTAATTTTTTAAACAGTTTTATTATTGGCATATGATTCACATACCATAGAATTCAATGGTTTAAATATATTAAAAAGAGCTATTAGTTATATGCATTAAAAAAAATCTTTTTGATGAAATTGTATGCCACCATTCCAAATAGTGGTCTGGTTTGTTTGTTTGTTTTAAACTAAAGTAGAT